ACAATATTAATCGCGAGTCAACAATAATACATGTGTTGACAATTAGTTTTTAATTTACTTTTTTAAATACAAATAAGTAACGAAATTTGATTGAGTTTAATGATTTGGAAAATATAATAATTGAACTTTAATTTGTAATTGAAAAAACTGCATTTTATTTTTTCGTAAACTTAGACGAGCTTCGCAAAGTTAACCTACACTAAAAATTCGCAGAAATACCCACACTTACCCTATGTATTTTTATACTGTAATTAGTAAAAAGTTGTATTTTTAGTAGTTTTGTCAAAATTTATTTTTAAAATTTTCAGGCGTTCAGGGTAAAAATTAGCCACAGTTTAAACTTCACCTTATGGTTGTTAATTAATACTCTCTTTCCATTGCAACAAAAAAAAAATGTATCGATATTATATAAAATCATTATTTTACATTATAAGAATATTGTTACTGTAACTTCTTCAAAAATTATTTTCATCATTTCAATTATTCAATTATTAAATTCTAGAATTTTTAACTAAAATCCTTCTTTAAATCAATTTCTTTAAAATAATTTTTGAAAAAGTCCTTTGAGAATTTTCAAATCCTCTAGTTTACAATTCAATTTTATACGAAATTTCGATTATTCCGACATTCTTCAATTAAATATATGTTAGAAAATCAAAACTGTAAATAATTAAAAAAAACAATTATTTTACCTGACAAAATTCTTTTTACAGGAAAATATGATGGTTTTCGTATAATAAGTAAAATATATGAATTTTAATAATTTCTAATAATTATAATTATAACTCTACCTGAATTCAATTATTTTCTACAATTCTAAATCAATTTAAATAATTTTTCGCAAGTTTTTCTAGAATTCAATTATTTAAATGCAAAAACTCAATTTTTTATAATAATTGTTACTGTCCGTGTTTTTCTTCTTAAGTTATTACACACGAAATGAAAAGTGTTGTTTTAACCTGAATTCGGGTGAAAATAACACGCAACAAATTTTACCCTACGAGGGTAAAATTAGTTGCGTGTTATTTTCACCCGAATTCAGGTTAAAACAACACTTTTCATTTCCTGTATAAGGTAAAATATTTTCAAAAAATCATAATAAAAAAATTCTTTTTATCCCACATGCACAAAAACGGCGCTTTCTGATAGCAGCCGACAGGGAGGAAAGTCATTCATTTCTTCGACCGTATGAAAATGGCGGCCGTGTTCTCCCAAGGGCAAGAAAATTAGCTGTTCACATGCATTTTTCTTGCCCAAGGGAGAAATCGGCCGCCATTTTCATACAAATCGAACAAGTGAATGACTTTTACTCCCTGTCGTCTGCTATCTGAAATCGCCGCTTTTGTGCATTAGGAATAAAAAATATCGTAAGTAACACGAGAATAAAGGCAGCCAATTTCTTTACGATGATTTTTGTGACACGAGTGGAGGTCTCGGGGCGCCTACGGCGCCCTCGACCTCCACTCGTGTCACAAAAATCACCGTAAAGAAATGGCTGCCTTTCTCCTCTTGTTGCTTAATATACTATACAATTAATTGTTTTAAAAATATTTTTCAATAAGTTTTGAAAGATAATAGTTTTTTTAAATATACAATTGAAAAATTTTTAAACAATTTAAATTTTGTAAAATCTTTTAATTTAATTTTTGAAAAATATTTAAATAAAAATAATCAAATTTTCAAACAATTTTAATTGTACCTATATATTCATAATTTTTTAATAAGTCTAAAAAAGGAAATTTTTATAAATTTTTATTCACTTTATTTGAAGATAATGGAATCAAAAAATGTTGATAAAACAATTCTTAGAATTAGTTTTTAAAAATATTTTAATGTCATTTTTTGAAAATAATTGAATTTATTAAAAGAATTTTTGTATAATTTAAAAAAACTAATTAATATTTTGGTGAATTTTAATTAAAAATTTTTAACATGATTTTTTTCTCCAAAATGTTGAAAATAATTTCTAAACTATTATTTTTTGTGTGTATTTGAATTTTCGGAAATATGTAATTGAAAATATTAAAAATATTGAATTTTAAAAAATTAGGGTAAAGTGCGGATAGATGCCCCCCAATTCGAGAATTACATCTAAATTCAACAAATATTAATATTTTTAATTGACTATTCGATTTTTACACACTATTACTATTTATCATTAAGGTACTACTACACTTTAGAAGGTCAAAAAACAGCAAATTTTCAAGAATTATTTTCTCAGCTCCTTTATTAAATATTAAAGTAAAACTTTTTTTTAAATAAAACATTGTTACATTCGTCGATATTACAAAACTACAAAATTTTTTCGATTGTACATTTTTCTCTATTTTATAGAGGGCGCTAAAATTAAGTCATTGAAAAATCCTCGCCGCATTGCGGACAGTTTATCTCAGGATTGGGTGGTTCAAAACAAAAAATTCAAAAAGCTTCTTAAAGTGGAAGATTTCTCACATCGAAATCTACCACAATTAGTAAAAAAATCCATTAAAAAAAAAAATGCGAAAGTTAAAAAAAAAGTGTAAAATTTGACCTTTTGTTTTAGCTGTTTTTTCTTGCTAAAAATTTTTTTTTTGTTTATTTTGGTCAAATCGTGGTAGTTTGTCACACAGGACGTTTTAACAAATCAAACGCATTGTGAATTATAAAAATCGGTTCAGCTAATCTAGAGATAAACTGTCCGCAATTTGAGAAAACGTTATTGTGAGAAAAACGCGTTTAAACTTATATACGTGGGTAAGAATTCCTGAAGTGGGCCCCTATTTTTCATTGGGTTGGTGGATTTTTCTCATTCTTATATGTTTCGATAGCCTATGATGGTATAATAAAAACCTGTAAATAGTTTTCCGAAATTCGAATATTTGCCAAAGTTATTCAAGGTCAAAGTAATTTGTAGCGTTTTAGTAAATAGCTAATTACTCGCGATTGGATGAACCGATTTTAATAAAAATTGGAGAAGAGTTTACCTGAAGAATTGTACTTTAGATAAATGATCAAAATTTTAATTAAAAAATAAAATTTGTTTAAATAAATTAACTTTTCAATTTTTGGGGTTAAAAAAAAATTTGTTCTCCATCTTTTTTTTGGATTTTTTTTTAATAATCAAATAGAGAATACTTTTAAGATTTTATTTTAACAATAAAAAAGTGGGATTCTCTATCACTTTAGAAAATATAATATTTTTAGTTACAAATTTTTTTGGAAAGTTAAAGAAATTTGAAGCAAAACAAATGAATGAACTAAACTCGACAATTTTAACCAACCAAGTTTAGTTCATTCATTTGTTTTGCTTCAAATTTCTTTAACTTTTCAAAAAATTTTGTAACTAAAAATATTATATTTTCTAAAGTGATAGAGAATCCCACTTTTTTATTGTTGAAACAAAATCTTACAAGTATTCTCTATTTGATTATTTAAAAAAAATCCAAAAAAAAGATGGAGAACAAATTTTTTTTAACCCCAAAAATTAAAAAGTTAATTTATTTAAACAAATTATATTTTTTAATTAAAATTTTGATCATTTATCTAAAGTACAATTCTTTAGGTAAACTCTCCTCCAATTTTTATTAAAATCGGTTCATCCGATCGCGAGTAATTAGCTATTTACTAAAACGCTACAAATAACTTTGACCTTGAATAACTTTGGCAAATATTCGAATTTCGGAAAACTATTTACAAGTTTTTATTATGCCATCATAGGCTATCGAAACATATAAGAATGAGAAAAATCCACCGACCCAATGAAAAATAGGGGCCCACTTCAGGAATTCTTACCCATGTATCGTTAGAGGCCATCCATAAATTACCTAAAATTCTTTTGCAAACTGAAACCCTACCAATTTTTTTATTTCAGACACTGTTGCATACATTAGCACTAATGTTTCTACTGGTCGTAACAAAAAGCTAGACCCCACCATCCCCTTAAAGACTTACTTAATTTGTCAATGACTTTTTACATTAATTGAATATTTTTTGAAAAATTTACTTTTATTTTTTACAATTGGTTATAAATACTTTAGGAGGTGTTTTTTGAAGTCATAAGGAGTTAAAAAATACAATAAAAAAAAATAAAATTTTTTAAAATTCTAAAGTGTAGTAGTATACCTTAACTAGATGAAAGGACCAAATACCTACAATAAATAATAAATTAATGAGAACGATAATACAAAAGGTCTGCATTTGGCCATATATCCCACCTGGGTGGGTAAGACGCCCCCCGCGGAAAGTTATTATCATTTATTACAATAATTATTATAAAAAATGGAAAACGCCGATCTAATATGTTTCTCTGATTAATTTTAAACAAGAAAATAATTGCAAATATTTTTTTACGTGTTAAATATCCTTGATTCTTGTATAATGATAATAATGTAATCCATAAGAGGTAATGTTAAATTAAATAATTTTTAACTTGTAAACTATTTAGTGAAAAATTCTGAAATTTGGTGGGTAATTTTATTATATAATAGCAAATCATTTCCCAAAATATCAAAATTAAAGATTCTGAACATTTTGAATTTCTATACCATTCCTCCTTAATTTCCCTGAAAAAATTTTTTTTTCTTGGCATTTCCCTGACTTTACTGACATGTGCACACCCTGAAATTAAAACCCTATGAAGTTCATCTATTTATATAAATATTGTAAACGCAACTCTTTTAAAATTCAATTAATTTATACACAATAACTTTAGAAAACAACAATTTTCCAGGATTTCGATAAAAATTTCCTGACTTTTTCAGATTTTTTCAAGGTTTATAAAATTCCCTGACATTTTCAGGTTTTCCAGGTTTCCAGGTTGAGTGGTGACCCAGTAATTAATAGACAAAAAAAATTCGGAGCCTGGTGGGGACTATAGAAATGACATTTAAAAACTCTAGAGTGGGGGGACAAGTCATCATATGGGCAGAGCGTTAACCGCGTTAACTGAGTTAAGTAACAAATAAAAAAAATAAAATTGCAATTTTTTTTTAATTTGGGGAATTATTTTCCTGATCTCTTACCGGATTAACATCGCCATTTGGTTTTTCGCCATCGAGTACCCTCTGTCGTAGTGCAAGTCGATCCAAACTTGCCAATCTGTAACTTCCGCCAACATCCCTTTCTCTCGTCAATCGATCGGCGGCAGTTCCATTCGATCCGGCATTAAAGCTCGACGTATATTTTGGCAGTGTAGGTGGTGGCGCCTGTCTCATTTTGTCACGTGTCAACATTGAATTACTGCTGTACAAAAATGACGAATTATTTGTATTTGTACGTCCCGATGATGATATTGCTGGTATCGTTGAATTTGCCGACGACAATGTCGATGATAGTGACGATTTCAATCCATTTGTTTGCGGTGCAACGCCATTTTGATTTTGATTTTCCGCTGACATCTCTTCTTTTTTTTTCTTTTTGGGTCCGTTTCACACTTTTTGTTTTATTTATCAATTTGTTTTTGTTTTCCTCTTTGTTTACTTCTTTGCCTATTTATTGCTTACTTTTTTTACTTCTTTCTTTATTTGTTTACTTCTTTATTATTTATTCACTTCTTTATTTGTTTACTTCTTTATAATGTATTCACTTTTCTGTTTACTTCTTTATTTTATATTCAATTTTTTTTGTTTACTTTTTTGTTTTTGTTTATTTTTCGAAAATATTACTTGTCACACACTCGGGAGCAAATTTTCGTCTCGAAATTATTACAAACGCACTGCACTGGATTTATTATTGAATTCGCTTCTTTTTGGCTTTGGTTCTTCCAACTGGATCGATGGTTCTCTGTTTGTATAATATTTTAATCGATTTAGTTTAATGCATAATTCAAAATTTAAATGATTTGTAGTTTAATTTTAGCATAATTAATTTAAAATTCAATTTTAATAATAATTAGTCAATTTTTTTTTAAATTTTCAATTATTTTGGACAATTTAAAGTGCATCATATTGCAACGAGTGACCCAACTTATCTATTAATAAATATTTACTTTTAGAAATAAAACCAAAAAGACAATGTAAATTAAAAAAATAATTTAGTTATAATCAATATTTATAACTACAATTTTATTATAATTTTCATAATAATAATAAGTAATAAAATAATAAAATAATTTGTAACTCCAAAAAAGAAATGTAGGAGAAGAAGTGAAGAATTTTAATAACGGAAAATAAATTAATAAAAAAATTTGAACGAAAATGAAACTAGAAAATTATTTTTTCGTTTTTTTGTGGTATATATAATGCGAGATAAGTTTGAAGATTCTGATTTCAATAAATGTATGTGAGTATCTGTGTGTAAAATGTGAACGTATTCATTGAGAGAATTCTGTTTCCCGGAATGTGATATCAATGGTTTTCTTGTATACGAGACACTGACGGTTTTGAATCAAAAATTTATTGCACTTCTGACTACAGGCATATAACGAGAAATATTGTTTACGAGCGTTTGCAAAGTAAAAAAGAAAAAAATTAAGATAAAAAGTAAAGAAAAAAAAATCAGAGACTATATGAAAGAAAACCGCGACTTTAGAATTTATTTATATTTTATTATATATGTTTAATAATTATTTTTAATATTATATTTCATAATTATGAATTTATGATTTTTTTATGTATTCATCCGAAACTAAATATTATATTTAATAATTATTGTCTTATTATTAAATTCATTATTATTTACTTACAGTCGAAAAATTGATAATTTATTAATTTACTTTATAAAAATCATTAAAGAAAATTCTAGTTTTAATCAAACATGAGGGCTTTATTAATGTAAAAACCCATGAGGTATACATAGAGAAAATAAAATAAATATAGGTAGTGCAATATTTAAAAAAAATATATATAAAAATTAATTAATTTAATAATTTACTTTACTAAAATTAATAAACTTAATAATGTCATTGAATTGCAACAATTAAATAATGAATAATTAATAAATCTCACAATTTCCCTGAAAATTTGAAATATTAAAATTTAATTATTAAATCGAATAATTATGATCTATTTGTTATATTTATCAATTATTATTATTTTATTATCAGGGTGTCTACTATTTTCGTTTAACAAAATTCCCGGTTTTTCCCGGCTATATCCTAATTTTTTCCCGGTTTTTTTTTCTTATCAAATGTAAATTTAAATTTGATTTTAAACATAAATAAATCATTAAATTTTCTGAAAATAATGTTTTTTTCAATAATTTTAATTAAAAACTTGGAAAATACTTGAATTAAACAAAGAATTTTTTCAAGTTTTTAAAAATAATCTTGTCTCTTTATAATTATAATTGAAAATTGGATTTTTCAATTTTATTAAAATTACATTGATAATAATTGAACTTCTGCAAAGAATTTTACTATTTATAAAAATAATTGAATCCTTCCAAAGAATGCTATTATTTATGAAAATAATTTAATTTTGTGAAGAATTTTATTAAAATTTTTGAAAATAATAAGCAGCAATAATTAATTATTTACTTAATATGTAATAAACATTTAATTTGCTCAAGGAATAAATAAATATCATTTATTTGAACATTCAGAAATTTAAAATGATAAAAATTTAAGAGAAGTTCAATAATTATAATTATTAAATAATAATAGAATAGTATAATTTTTAGAAGCAAAAAATTGATTTAAAACTGTAAGAGGGACTTAAAATTTTAAAAATAAAATTATAATTATGGTCACTAACTTCCCTTGATTATTTTCGAAAAATTTAAATAAAATTCTTTAAAAAAATTCAATTATTTTTCAAAAAAAGTAAAAAAATTTCAATGATTTGTTTAGAAAAATTCAATTATCTTGAAACAATAGAATTGAAAAATTACAACAATTTTATTTTTTAGATTTAAACAAAATTTTGCGAAAGTTCAATTTCATTAAACAATTTTAAGTATGTATATTTTTTTAAATTAACTAATAAAAATTTTAATTATTAATCTTCGCAGTAAGAAACATGAATACATTAGAATTTTACTCTTTATAATATTCAATTATTAATCAATTATTAAATTAAAATACTTTGAAAATTCTATTTGTTAAAAAGTTTCTAATGAATTTCTTTAACAAATTTAATTACATATTTTCAGTCGAATTTCACAATATTTCTATTAACTCCATAATTTTTTTAAAATTTATTTACATAATATATTTGAATTGGTAACTGATTTTTTATCATCAAATTAATTATTTTTAAGTAACTTAAATTTAGAGAACAGTATAAATATCTATAAAAATTGAAATAAAAATTGATTTTTTAAAAACAAATTAAAATAATAAAACTTTTTTAATTTTTGTGAAAAAATTCCCGGTTCGGTATAAAATTCCCGGCTAATTCCCGGTTTTTCCCGGTCAAATAAAATTCCCGGTTATTTCCCGGTTTTCCCGGTTAGTAGACACCAATTATAATTTATAATGCCAGTAGTAAAAATATATTACAAAAATAATATTTTCAATTTGTAATAAAAATAACAAAAATAAAAATAATATAAATACAAATAATGCCTAATAATAATAATATATACTTTTATTAATAATATTAACAAGAATACCTGCGGGAACCGATTTCTTAAATAAATAAACAAATAAAACATAATAAAAAAAAACTAAGAAAACAAAAAAAAAACTAAGAAAAATAAAAAAAATAGAGACTGGAAGGAATTTGTCAAATTATTTTTGGTTTTCTTTTTCTCTCGTTCTGTCACCAGATAAAAAAAAACTAAATATTTCCGAGAAAATCAAAAAACGTCGTGTGTGTGTGTAAAAAAATTTCAAGATGATTTTTCTAAAACAGACTTGATTCATTTTTTTTTTTGTTATTATTATCAGGAGAGCAAAATCTGACACTAAACCGGATTAGTCCTTCGAACTCAGGTAACATATATATATAATATATATATATATATATATATATATATATATATATATATATATACATATTTAGTTCGCGCTATAGTAGGAGTCGACACACGTAGACCTTGAAAAAAACACCCTAATCTTCTCTAAGTCTGGGTCAAAAGAAAAAGGAACTTTCAAAACTAATTTTTGCTACAGTATTATAAACGAATCCTCCAAATATAAAAGCGTCCGTCTCTCAATAATAGATAGTCTCTCAATAATGGACTCTTTATGAAGTTAAAAATAAAAAGTGCAAATAAAATTTTGTAAAAAATATGTAAAATATTATAATTCGGTAATTCGCAATTTTGATTAGTTTACCCCATTTTTTAAATAAATAATAATTCAAAACAAAAAAAAAATAAAAAAATAATTTATTTAATTATTAATATTTATTTATTCAATTTTTAACGGGCATAAATCCCTTTCGTTCATATAGTACTTAACAAAAATATTTAACAAATTATAATAACAAAATAAAATATAATATATTTTATCATAATAATAAAATATATTTATTTTAATATTATTATTACAGGCCTCTCACTCAGTTTTACAATAAAAAATAGTGTCAAAAGTGGCATAAAATGTTCATAAAAGTGGCAAAATAGTGGCATATTATTTATTAACAAATAAATATTAAATGATTAAATTTATGTTTTAAACTGCTATAGATATTCATTATCCCGTTATCTAAACTATTTTTGTTTGTAACTTTTCAAAAATCTAATAAAAAATCTACTTATTGGCCCAAAAAAAGACTTAAAAGCTCATAACTCAGGTAAAAAATTCATATGATATTAAGACAACCTGATATCATCAACGACACTACTTCTACGTTACTATACAAAACTGTAAAATACAAAAAAAATTTTTGCCTCAATTATGGATTTTTGAAGTACATGGTTTGTTCTCATCATTATGAAAAGGGTCTATACTCCCTTGCAAATAAAGACACAGATTTGTCAACATGAAGTGCAAATTGTGAAAAATAATATTACAGTAAGGAAGAGCATATTTTTTTAATTTTCAAGAAATACTGGCAATAATGATAATTATTTTTATATAATATGTTGCAAAAGGGTTCAAATATTTTATTAAAAAAATTTAGCATGCCAATAGGACATTATTAATGCAAAAAAAATTTTTTTGTGCAGCTTTGTATAGTAAGGTAGAAATAGTGCCTCTACTGATACTATACTTGTAGGTTGTTTTAAGACAATAACAATTTTTTTTACTTAATTATGAGTTTTCAAAGTTAGGGTATAAAAATTTTTTAAGCCGATAGTAGCTTCCTATTTCGTGAAAAATCTAAAGATAGATAACATTTATAAGATTTGTTAAATATTATAATATAATAAAATAATGTCCAATATAGCGATCAGTCATTCAGGGCACAAAATTACGTAAGTATACCAACTTTCATTAAAATCGGAGGTATGCATATCCAATACCAGTAATAATTATTATTGTTAAATTATTATAAATAATTAACAGTTAGTTAATAACAAAAACAATGTCTAAACAATACACGGACTTTTCCCGTTTATAAATAATTAAAAATAATATACCAATTAAAATAAATAAAGCCA